AAGAGACAGAGGGAGGACAGCTTGGACTGGGAAAGCCAGCAGAGCGAGGCGTGTTTCTCATCAGACAACCGCAGCTTGGTTTCCCTGATTTGTATTGCCCTCTCTAAGCTACAAGTCTACGACTGGTTATGTGAGCCCCGCGGCTTGAGAGAGGGCTCACCACTTCCGCACCATCGCACGGGAGGGTGAGACCTGCCAGGCCTACCGATCCTCCCGGACACCCTTTTTAGACGGATGGAATATGTACTACTGCATCGTATATTCTGACGTACCTATTTTTTGGTACGGAGCATCATTCCCTCTACGCCTGGCTGAGCCACACCTTTGGCGGTCCTCACTTCCCTCCCGTGCATGGTAAGCAGAGGCTACCTAGAACCGGAGGCTGGAGGCAGCGTCTTCGATGCAACGTGGAGAAGAACCGAAAGAACGGCCTGTCAGCGCCGCAGCGACCTGCTCAGCGCTTCTGTCGCACAGCATCAGCTGCCAGATCAGCCGTTCGTCGGGTTTCGGTGCTCAGTATGGCCGGTGAGCACCTCGGTCTGGGCGGGGAACGGAGCCTGTCATTCTGTCTCGCGGGGGCCGCCGCGGCCCATCATACGATGGGTCAAGGTCGATGGGCCAGGACCGCAAAGGGATTGGCGTCGATGAAGAGAGCACCAGCAACGGCAGCGTTTGACATAGCCCAGATCCCACGCTTGCACCATCATCGCAGCGAAGGCGGCGATGACTATGCGATGTGAGTAATGGGCAGATGCGGGAAACGTCAAATCGACCTGGTAACGTTCACCGCGCATTTCAAGTTGTTTTCTTCTGCCTGTCCCCAGATTGTGGGATCCGAGGGGAACGGCCGACGACCAATCGAACGTCGCAAAAGCCCCCAATAGCTCGGTACCATCAGGGCATCGTGGGCGGGTGGGTTTATTGTGACGTTCTGTCCGGAGCATGGGGTCGGTACAACTTTTCCTCGCTTTAGGAAATGTCTCAGGTTATCCAGAGAACCAGAACCCAAGCACTCAAGATGGCGGCCCCCTAAAACCAGAGCCCAAGGTTGGTTCACATGGGAGATGCAGCCAGTTGTGTGCCTGCCACGTCGTCCACTTGGCTGTCTCTGAGAGGCTCAAGGAAGCTGGCGGGAGGAACGTTGGCTTCTTCTTGATCTGCTGACCTGCAGACATTCCGTTGTTGGCAAAGACAGTGTTCTTGTCGACAGCCGTATCCGTAGGTAGAGACGAGAAACATTACGGACTGGAACGGTGTACACTTGGTACCAGCCCTTTCCTATTGACGAAAGTTATATCTGTTCTTCTCAACGAGAAAAATGCTGCGAATACCACATTCCGAGTCAATGAAGCCATGCCTCATCTCGTAAAAGTCGTAGTGTGCTCCCGACAAGAACCTTTCGTGTTGAGGATTCTGACACAACACCGCCATTTCGACCTCAACGGTCGACTGTTGGAAGCGAACAAGCAGGCATCCGATCGCGGCGGGCGTTACGGTCCATAGTTTGTAAATTGTGGCAAAGGCGGAAGTGTAAGTTGTGCCTGGTTGACTAAGATAGGGTAGAAGCCTCAAGAGACATGCGTCAACTTCAATAGTGCTTCGGCACCAGGTCCGAAGCCCACGTAAAGGCCCTTGATTTGTTTGCAAAGTACCCTGTATGGAGCAGTGGCATGCGTCCCCGTCCCTCGTCAGGGTACCAAAAGCCACAGCATGGCTGTTTGCTGTCTGTCTGTCCTGTGACTCTATTTCAAGTTGTTGTTGACTGCAAGCTAAGCAGGTTGTGTGGTAGCGAAATGGCGGCAATCAAACGACTTGTTAGGAATTTGCTGAATATCACTGGGTTCTTCCGCCTTGGACTTGGCTCCCGAAATTTGGAAGTAGGCAAATCTTGAAGCAAGAGATGCACCAGACTGCAGGTCCCGGCCATGATCCCGGTCCTCCAGTTCCTGACTAGAGCATTTGCGACCCTTGGCCCTGGAAACTGCGTCCACAGCAGCGCACATCAGCCAAGATGGAAGACTCGAGAAGCTCGAGTGCGATTGCGGATAGAGAAGAAAGAGCTTAGTGACAGTGTACTTTGTGGGCGGTATTTGATGGCAGCTATGAGTTTGTAACTTTGTATCCGTACGAATAGTGTATTTCGCAGAAGCCGGATTCTTCTGCCTGGGAACAGGGGATGGTGACTAGAAGTCTGAAGAAGACCAGGGGCCTTGATTGGAAGGAAGTTGTCCCGAGGTCCCACGATGCCCGATTCTAATCAGCGGTGATGGCTCCCGGGGGGGGGGGGGGTCGGTGACAGGCCGCCGGTGCAACAGAATGGGCGATGTTACTCCGTAGTCCGCACTCATGGGAGAGAAGAAAAATACGCCAAAGGCAAAAGCAAGAAGGGTGGATTCCTGGATGAAGATCAGCTGCGCCGTGTGTCCTGGCTTTGCCTTGCCTGGAGCCCGGGGGAGGGCAAGGGGGGCCGACGATGAAAGTTGCATCCAGAAAAATTCCAGATTGCGTGGGCGAGTTTGGGCGTCGTGGGCCAGAGACTTGGGCTGCATTTGACATCCACTCTTGTCCACAGCCCAGCGGGCAGACTCACTACGGAGTACCTTAGTATGTAAGTACCTACCTTAGAGCAAGTGGGTGATAGGATTCTTGGGAAAGTGGTAATATGGAGAAAAGCATCCGGGAAAGAATTGCGGTCTGAGGCATCCCGCGTGGTTTCAGGGGGTTTGCCGGTCGCAGTATCTCCTAACTTCCTAAACTTATTCGACCCAAGCAATTTGTTGGACGGAGAAGGAACTCTACTGACGACCTAGTACCTCTCCGTACACTAGAAGAAGTGAGGCAGAACCCAGCAACAGCTCCCAGCCTACACTACTGGATGGAAAGAGACAAGAGGACCAAGGGCAAAAAAGGTGCTTTCCTTTGTACCTGTGTAGCCGTGCCTCCTTGTGTACCTCCAAGGATCCTGGAAGACGGGACTCCTCCCCCGCCAGAGTGGTCCATGTCTAGCGGGAACGAAGAGACGTACCTAGAACTTCTGAAGTATTCGCCCGGGAAGGTCACTCCGTGTTGTCGGAATGGAGAGCAAGGTAGACAGGTACGTACCGTGGGCCGGTCGCGACTGTTGCAAACTCCGAGGTTGGGCGATGGGCACCTCATGCTGGTCACTGGTGCAGCGGTGTTGACGTTGTGCCTGGCACCGGCTTGGCCTGGCACCTGGCCTGTTTTTCCTCCCCTCTTTTTTTCTGCCCCCTCTTCATAGTCGCAGTCTCCCAGAGTCCAGTGTCAGTTGGCAGTCGCAATATTCCTTTCCTTCGCCCGCCGGGCCTTCCGCCTTTCGCCCTGTGCGACGCTATGCTGGGACCTGCAGCAGAATCGGGTCCATTTCTCGCGTTGGCTGCTGAAGGAATCCGTCCGCTGCGCCGCCCCTCTCCAGTCTCCAGTCTCCAGTCTTCAGAGATCCGATTTTTCTGTTCGGTGGAGGGGAGGAGAGGAGGAGGAGAAGCCCAGGATGCCGCTCACCGTGACCCGTAAACGCAATTCGTTACCCGGCAGGACTGGATTGGACTGGACAAGACGATACGTCGAGCACATGGCTTGAGCCCTTCTGCCCACGGCACACCGCACGAGAAACTGAAAAAGAGAGAATCGGCTGAGACGGGAAAAGCTTCGTTGCTGACTTGTTCTGATGGGTCCCAGATACAAGCTTCTGATTGCTGCGGACTTTCAGGAACGCTTCCGCGGTGCCTCGAGCACCAAGCTCCCTCAGACCTAGACCTGTCCATGTCTCCGTTGGCCCTTACGCTCTACAAGAGGCGCCGAAGATGAGCAGAAACATTTCTATGCCAGGATGGAGCTGGGAGGTGAGAGAAAATTTCGTGCAAAGTATTACGGAGGTAAGAAAGGTAGAGACGGAGACAAAGGCGAGGAATGGAGGGAGACGGAAGCGATATCGAGTGCCAATAAGAGGCATCAAGCAGTCAAAGGAGCCTAGGGGTAGCGCATCAGGGTCGCCCTTCCCTTCATGAATCGGTGCCATTTCAATTTTGCTTTTTTGAATTTTTCTCTCCCTCACATTTTCATTTTGGGTTTTTTGGTTGTCACTTGTCTTGCTGCTACTTACTCGTTGCCCTGCCATGTCTTTGTCACCTCGCCCACAGAATCGATGATAGGGCAGCCTTTCTGATGGGCCTCTGTCAAAACGGTTGTTTGCTTCACATCCGTGCCGTTCCTTTCAAAGACACTCTGCATCGTGGTTGGTTAGCCAGCTCCAGGGCATGGTTTGATACCAAAGGTGTGTGTATGATGGATACGTAGGATTGTGTCTATACAATTCGACTCGATTGCACGGGAAGCGGCAGTACACAATACCTACTCGTTTACGCTTACTGCGTAGGTAGGTACGCTCAAGGGAATCTCGATGGCATTTGGGCCATGTCCTCGTGCAATGCGAGAGAGCCCAGTAGTAGAGGATAATCATCGGAGGGACCATCAACTCTCTTCAGTTCCGGCGGAGTAAGTGACGGCAGCGGCAGCATCAGTGCATTGCCTCTGCCCTCTGGAGAATTATACCTGAAGTACCAGCAAAAGTGCGCCCCAGAGCACCTCAGCCAGAGCAGGGCGAGCCGGATACTTCGAATCAAGTAGTCGCAGATGTATCCTCGTACCTGCCCTTTTGATGACTGCGGCCGGCCCCCGGCAACAACAAGGCGCATGGGTCCTCACGGGTAGCTGGCTACTTGTAACTACGTACCGACCGCATCACGAGCCATGTACCTAGGTACCTTGCCTTCCTTGCTCCCCTTGCAAACAAGGCACTACTTTCCGGCAGGTGCTTTCTTGCCCAACTTTGGGCCGCTGAGGTCTTTCTGAGACTCTCTCGCTGGGCAGGTCGTAGGCGTCACACGCTAAGAGCCCGCTCCTTACCGACCGGTCCATCCCAGCACACACCACCCGACCGACCTTCTCTCTCACCCAAAGCCCAGTCCACCCCCCATTCCCCAATCACCCAGTTGCCAGCCATAACAAGTGCCTTCCTCATCAGCACCGACGCCATCCATCCATTCACCAGTGCCAGCGCACCCTGCAAATTTTGGCTTACCTTAGGTTTGCACTGACTGACCTTACTGACCTCATTCCCGTCTGGTCTCCCACAACCTCCACCACCACCACCTCCTCCAGCCGTCTTCGTCTTCGTCTTTTACATCAGACACACCACACACTCCTCTTCTTAACTTACACCACCACACTTGGTTTCTTCCCCCCCTCCAATCCCCTCATTTAGAGCTTCTTACTCTTCGTTGTCAACCCGTATTCTTTTCTACTCAGGAAACATTCTGCGAATCACTCTCACTCTTGTGTTCCTGTCAAACAGCTCCACAGCAGCCCAATCGCCAGTAGCTTAGCACCCCGTCACCCACGAAACCTAGACACGACCGCGCATTCGTCTTGCCTCAAACCGGTCCCAAAGCAGCACAACAACCACTCAAACGATATCTCCAGATTCCCGACAGGGTCCCAACCTTCCACCCAGAAATCCATCCTATACCACGTCGCATTGTCGAACATCATGATAGGCCTGCTTCCGAACTACGATTGCCGGCTCCCGAGTTAACAATACCCACATTCGATTGGTATGAGGACTAGACGAGGCTCCATTCCCTTTGCTGTCTCACTTGAAAATCCTCGGCCATGGAAAAGACATTCAGCACCACAAACGGGCCCTCTGACGCAAGCCAGTCACGCATAGAACATACAGAGACGTCCATCACTACCCCCTCAAACAACGCCGCCGAGACCCAACCGCACTCTAAACCATCCTCCGCCACAACCTCGTTAACACCGTCACCATACAACTCCCGCGACACCTCCCCGTCACGAAAGGCACAGAAGCCCGTTCACGCGCCCAAATCCGCATCTACCCCCGGCCTGAGATCGCGCAAGAGCAGCCAACAGGACTTGACTGCAGTACGGACACCCAGGTCCAATACCAACATCCCAGGGCCGGCGACGTCGTCCAGGACGCTCTCCGCAGCGACAACTCCTACTTTACTCCCGAATTCACAAGAATCCTTCCTTAGATCTATCAATCCTCAGAAGGCACCTCTCAATACTGAGGTAGCTCAAACGAGAGACAGCCCTCGCTGGCCTGTGTCGCCTCGCTTGCGCTCACCCCCTCCTCAGCTCAATAAGCCTCACATTCCGCCCACCACACGAAAAGGCGAGCAGGAAGCCCCGAGGGTGAATCTCACGAAAGCCTCCCCGACTCCACAACCGGATCGCCTCCCTTCCATGTCAGAGAGCGAAACCGACGACTCGCTACTACCATCTGGCGTGCGAACCCCAGTGACCGTAAACGGCTCAACTCTGGAAACAGTACAGGAAGTGAGTTTGCCGAATTCGCCAGGGCAAATGGACTCTACGCTGGAGCAGGTCAACGAGAAGTTGGCCCACGAGGCTGCTGTGAGTGCCGAAAGCCTGGCGACGCAAGTGGACAACAATCGCACTATTCGCCTTAGCAGGGGAGCCCTCCAGGCTCACGACAACATGGGCGACAACGGGACACTCAGAGTGCGATCGCAGAGCTCCGCTCCTGCCCCGACGGTTACGCGACAGTCTAGTGTGCTGTCCAACAAGCAAGGCAAGAGCAAAGCAACGGGAGAAGGATCTTCCCTCATAGTCGAGACGGAAACGGTGTCGTCTATTCCCCAGGTGGCATTGGCACCTGCTTCTAAATTGGAAGTCAGCAGCGGCACACTAAGGGCGAAGCCAAGTACCGAGACGATTAGGCCCAAGAAAGACAAGAAGAAGACGAGCCGGAAGCAACCCACAGTCAACTCTGGCAACGGTGAGACACCAGATTCAATTTTGTACTCTTCTAGGACTCTTCGGCATCACCAGCACAGTCTGCGATCAGTGTCTGCAGCAACTGATGCTTTGTCCCCGCTCGAAACAACGTTTTCGGGACCGCGAGCAGAGATAGTGCGCCCTCCGCGGCAGTTTCGCTATCGCATCTGGATTTCTCTTTGCAGCTTACCCATTATACGGAATCTACCATTTATGAGCAATTTACTGACTAGACTTGAATCAGCATCCTCCAAGGCGGATATTTTTGAGGCTAAAGTGGCCAGCGCCGTTGACGAGGCGAATACGTCAGACTCAGAGGAAACATTCGTTTACGATAGTAACCCCCCGGATGTCGACAGGCGCAGATTTCACTCGCGGACACCTAGCGCTACTTCGATGATTAGCCAGGCTGACAGACCTGGCGGTATGGGGATGCGCTCAATTCATGAGGCTCTGCAAGGCAGCGGCGCCGCCGCCGCAGCCGTCGGGCTGAAGAAGAGCATGAAGTTTGTCAACACGTTCAACAGCAATGGAGCAGAGAGCCTTGGCGTCGATGAAGATGGTAAGGGCAGCGGCAGGAGTGTAGGCCCAGGATCGGGCAGAGGTACGAGTCGGCATCACCACCACAATCACTTTGGTCGCTGGGGGCGACAGCCAGGAAACTCACACCCCTCACTTTTCGACAACGAATCGCTCTTCCCAAATGCTGCTCGGTCTAAGCTCTCGGGCAACACCTCGAGACAGTCATCCGGCCCTCCTAGTCCTAGGGTTGCGAGCTCTGCTAGAGGTGGACCTCACGCGCTCGGAAAGCGATCGTCGATTCAGATGGCCCGTTACGATGCGGCCGACGATACTACGACCACTGGCGCTGACGACGAGCGCACCCCGTTGATTTCATCTACAGTCAGGTCTTCCAGGAGGAGCAGACGTCAACCTGCAAATCTGCGGAACCTCGAATCACAAACGTACAGGCAGCAACCATCCTATCTGAATCGATTTGCAGCTTGTTTGGTTGTCACTATGATGTTGCTCCTCGTCATTACTGGCGCGATTGGCTTTATGTTCGCGACCTCGCAGCCGCTGACGGACATTCAGTTGGTCTCTGTCAAGAATGTCTTGGCTAGTGACCCAGAATTGATGTTCGACCTGACGGTCAAAGCCCACAATCCCAACATCGTGGTCGTCTCTATCGATCAGGCGAATCTGGAGATATTTGCAAAGTCGCCTCACGCGGGCACTGACTTTGACTGGTGGAAGCGGCCACATGAAGGGGAGTTGGGAGACCCAGACATGCATATTCGAGATTATCCCCCCGACGATCCACCAGACGAAGACAATGCTCCGAACATGCGACTCGGAACCATTATGGAGTTTGATAGCCCGCTATCATTTGAGGGGTCTTTCTTCAATAAGGGTGTATCGGCATCGACAGGCACCATGAGACTCCATCTTCCAGGCAACCACTCTGCTGGAGGTTCTGAGCGATGGGGTCGTATCATCCAGGATGAATTCGACTTGATCGTCAAAGGTGTCGTCCGTTATTCTTTACCGTTGAGCCAGCGGGTTAGAAGCGCACCAATTTCTGGCAGAACAACAGTCAAGCCAAACTCGGCTAATGACCCTTCTCTCCGACCAAACACAACACTCCCTGGAGAAGTACCTGGTCTTGAACCGTAGGGTGTCTCCCTTACTGGAGGTCGGCACATTCGATCATTTTCTTTGTCAACTTGTTCTGTATATTGAGCGTGCATGGCATAGCATAGTATTTCGGGGAAAAGCGGCGTTGAGCGAGGCTTTCCAGCAATAAATGCTTCGGAACAAAGACAGACAAAAGCGAACTGTATATACTTCTCTTATTGAGAGCATCGCTGACCACGATGACTCTCGGATCTCCAGCTAGCGTGCTCACGCAGCTTTTGTTTCTTGCGTTTGACTTTCTTCATCCAGCCAGACCACGACTTTGGTGGACCACATGCCATTCCTCGGCACAGCAGATCACGGGACAGGACAGCGAAACGCACTCATTCAGGCACAGGACCGTTCTTCATATTAGGGCAAGGGTTAGGACATTTGGGTTTTGCGTTGCTTTCTTTATCAGTATGGGAATCTTCTTTGCAACGGCCTTTTTCAGCTCTTGGGTTCATTAGAAAGGGAAAAGTAGCAACTACGCTGTTGTAATTGTAACGAAACTTCACGACCAACAGAGGAGATCAGAAGACAAGGAGTCAGGTCCGCCCACAGAGGTGCGCGACAAAAACAAGAAAGTCAGTTTTGACGTGGAGGTTGTGCAGTCTTAGCGAGGTTCGTGATGGACAAGGTAGCCCAGAGCTAGGTAGACAGCTAGAGAATGCCGATACTAGCTCTCCTGAGACTGGACATTCATTTGCCTTGAAGCATGCCTACCTGCTATGTATTTACTACGTCTCACGAGGCCCACACGTGTTGACAATCATGGCATGGGCAGAGCCTCAGTTGTTTGGCTACCATTCCGCCAGCCAGCCTGCAGATCCGAGGAATAAACAGACTACCCTCCACAACCATGCACCCAAGGCCCCCATCCCATCCCGAAACATGTTTGTGTGCATCTCGCATGACCCTGCCAGCTGGCAGCTCATCAAAAGGACGAGGGCTTTCCCACTGACCGCCTTTACATCACCAAGGGACGATCTGTGGGTAAAAAGTAAACAGATCCCCCAAGCAACGTGGGGTGGGGGTTAGGAGGGGTCGATGCCCGGGCACCCTGGGAGTTGACCTCTCCGATCGGAGGCGGGCCGGGCCCACCGCAACCCTCTATCTTTGCTTTTTTGTGCACATCTCCTGTTTGCTTTTTGTGTACAGAGTGCAGAGGATTGCCCTCGGATTCTCGTACGTAGTGTGCAGAGTGTGGAGTATGGAGCAGAGTATGAACACTGGCTCTCTCAGTACAGGGCACCCGGCGATGAATGTGTCAGACCGGTCAAGGCAGAACCATCTACTGGTGGAGATGGAGGGGGCGGTCACGATGGCACAAAAGACTCATAAGAGGGAGAGGGTTATTGAGCTTCCTCTGCAACTGATTCTGGCATCCACATCTGATCCACTCTAGATTCTACGAGCGATTCGGAAACGGGCAACTTGGCCGAGCGGTCTAAGGCGCCAGACTCAAGATAACAGGCTTGTCTAAAAGCAACCTACGTCTTCCCTGATACCAGGGAGCATTCTGGTCTCGAAAGAGGCGTGAGTTCGAATCTCACAGTTGTCATAAATATTTTACTCTTTTGACCAATAGAGTAAATTTGTCAGGCATTTGGAGTGCTGACAATGTTCGTACAGTTCCATGGGGGGTTTTACTACACTAGACTATGTGTTGTTGCAGGGTTTCCGTCCTTCTCGCACTCACGCGGGCTGGCGAATTTCCAGCTTTGCGATGGCTTACTTACTTACGTCCAGCAAATCTTATTATAGCCAGAGTCGCTAATTAGAGATGCCCATTTTCACTTCACACGAGAGGCGTTTGTGGTTTTCTGCCGGGCTCGAGAAGAGCACGTTTTGTGTGAGGCATTCGGATAAGCTTCGGGACATGCCATCTTGCGTATTCGTGAACACCCCTCGAAATAACGCAAACGACTCAGTGTATTATGCCATTCGCTGGCTACCCTTCTTCCCGAGTCATATAACACTTCGAGAACAGCAATCGAGTCGCTTATTTCCACTCGCTTTGAACTAGATACTTGCTCACATTTAAACGTAACTATCTTGCCCATAAGAAAAAACCACATAGATACACACCATGCCCGTCATCACCACAAAGGAGCCCGCTTCAGCCGTCGCCGCGGCCCTCGTGGCCGAGGCCAGCGAGAGCAAGCCGGCGTTCCTCGTCGTCTACGCCTCGCACCGCAACGGAAGGTCTTGGTGCGGCGACTGCACCGCCGCGGAGCCGTACATTGAGAAGAAGTTTGGCGGCGGCGAACAGACCGTCCGGGTTGTTTACGCGGGGCTGCCCGATGAGTGAGTTGAATCTGTCTCCCCCCTCCCCCCCTTCTTCGTGTATAGTATAGTAGTTGCATTGAAACAAGCTGCTTTTTATCGAGTCTGCGGGAAACCTTCCCCTCAGAATCGAGACCGTTAAAAATGAAATTTTTTTTTGCTGATGACTACTTTCATGACAGATGGAGAACGAAGGAGAACCCGTGGAGACAGGCGCCGTTCAACGTGACTAACCTGCCTACCCTCATCAAGGTCTCAGGAGACAAGGTACGTCATTTGCTGTCTGGCTCCAAAATTGTTCCCATTCTCCTCCCTCATTTTTCGCCTATTCCCTTTGCTGTCGCATTAGGAAAGACTGATCGCAGCTTTACTAACCCATGTGAAATGATAGAAATGGGAGAAGCTGGTGGAGGCGGACGTCTACGACCAGAAGAAGCTTGACGCCTTTGTCGGCAGCGGCAGCAGTCGGTTGTAAGCGCTTGGAGAGCACTGATAGCCCTTGAATAAAGAATCAAGTGAAAAAAATAAAGTCACAACAACAGCATACTTTAAAGCAGGAAGTTTTCAAGTCCCCCTATCAGTGAATCACAACAGAGCCAGCAAGGTGTGAAGACGAGATCGCGGTAGTATGAAAAGTCTAGACCACTCACGTGTATGCAATGGTTCCGTTTCTATGGAAATAGACAGTGGAGACAGCCTGGAGTGTTTCTAGGCTCACGCGGATTTCTGCATTGAGTATTCAGTTGAGCGAAGATGAAGCATATTTCTTGTCCTTCTTCCTATCATCTTCAGCTTCGAGCTTGATAGGAAATGCATCTTACAATGAACCTCTTGGACAGTCAAGCCTCCTCGCGTGCCGGAGATCTTACAAATCATACAACCTGGTCCGGACCTGGAGGCTACCAGTACACGGCATCACAGACATTGCGAGAGACGAGGAACAAAAGTCTAACTAACGTCAAACCATCTTAGCATTACTCATGTATCTATCCAACATTGCGTCTAGCCCGGCCATAGCCAAAAGGACTCATACATCCGTAAAGCCATATCGTAGTAGCAGACGCTTGTCATCAAGTTTCCAGCACCCATTCAAGGTAATGCTGCCTGTTCATGATTGAAGAAGAAGCAAAACACCGCCAGGGAAGCTCCCCTCTCCATGTCAATCATCCACATCCATCTCCAGCAGTCCATACAAATGTCCCTGCGTGTCTCCCTTTCCCCCGTGAAAACTGAAGAGTAGATATAGTGTAGTGTTTGATACCCAAAATATAGAAAGGCATAAACATATAGCCATAAGAAGAGGAAAGAAGCCAAACAATAGTATCCACAAAATGGACAGCGCCTCCAGACCCAATATTTCGTCGTACACTACCCGCAAATGCCAACCGAGACCCCGTGTGCATAGAGAAAACCAAGCAGCGCAGATCAGGGGGTATCCCGTCGTGTATCTTTTTTGCTTTCCTTATCCAACAATGCCCAAGTCCGGTACTAAGATGAGGTTGGATAAGAGGGAAGAAATCTATGCGATGCAAAGCAAAGAAGGAGGTCATAAACATAACGGCGTCAGTATGTGCCGATTACTCGGGGATGGCTTCGTTGGATCCGGGGGCAGCGGCGCCCTCTTCCTTCTTGCCCCAGCCGGAGGCCCAGCCCATCCAGCTGGATCGCTTATTGTTCTCCTGCTTGGCCTCGTTGTTCTCCTGCACCAGGCGCAGAGGACGGGGCTTGTTGCCAGCGAAAGTGGTCTGCTTCTCGTGGTGAGACCGCGGAGGGGACTGCGAGGGAGGCGTACCAGTGAGGTCGTTGGAGTCGCCGCTGGTGCTCGAGGTCTCGCTGCGCATGCCGGGGAAGTTACCTGCTGTGGGTGCTTGCTGACCGCTGGGTGCCCGCGCGGCTGCGTTGGGGTTGCCACCGAAGAAGGTCTGCGACGTTCGCGGAGTACGAGGGGAGCCGAGCGGCGGGGAAATAGGTCCATCCGGTCCCCGGTACATCTGATTAACGAGGTTAACACCAGTGAACTGCTCGCTCATCGGGCGCGCACGGCGGGTGCTGGAGGAACGGGTCATATTCCCGATAGGAATGCGAGGTGCCGTCTCTGGGTCCGTATGTGCCGAGTTGGCTGGTTGGGCCGAAGGCATGTAAGACATGGGCCTTTGTTTGGGCTTGTTCGGGCCGACGGCCATAGTCTTGGCTCGCTGCAATAGCGACGCTCCGGACGCGCCCTCCTTCGGCGGAGCGGGGAGATCTTTGTTGGTGTTTGCAGCCGGCTTGATCTCGGTGGAGGTATCCAAGATGTGCTCGAAATCTTGGTGCTGCAGAAGCCTTTCAATGATCTTGTTGATGTAAAGGGTCAACGCCTTATTCTGGTCCTTCATGGACTTGAGCTCCGATTCGAGGCGGCGGGAATGCTCGTTGTCGTTACCACCGGCATCTGATGCATCCTCGGACAGCTCATCTGCCAAGCTTGCGCCTCCGGATCGGCCCTCCAGCGCGTTGAGCGCATCCTGGTTGGCGGAAACACCCATATAGCTGAAATCATTCTTAGAGAAATCGCCATTGAGCGTCTTTTCCTGGAGAAGCAATTGGTAGCTCTCATTATCCTCCATGAGGCGGGCATTGGCCATGCGGGCTTCCATCAGCAGGCGTTCGACCTCCTGCAGTCTGCCGCCACCCTGGTTCTCAGACTCGACCAGCTTGATTTGAGCCTCGGCAAGTTCGAGCCGCAGGGATTCGATCAGCTTGTCCTTCTGGAGCAAAAGCTTCGAGTTGTTTCGTGAATCGCTGCGGTTGAGGGACGAAGGAGGGGCGAAACTGCCGTTGTCAACGTTGGGAGATGTTGCTGCTGCTGAAGAATTGTTAGCTTCGGGCCTTCTAGCTTGACAGGGTCAAACTTGCATTGTCTTGAAGGACGGCCCTCCTCATCATTTCGCTGCGACAAGTTGTCCTTCAGTCTTTGGATGATGGTCTGCATCTCCTCCTCTCTGTTGGACATTTCTTCCTTCTCCTTGGTCATGGAGCTTCGCTCGGCCTCGTAGATTGCTTCCATCTCTCGCATCTTCTTGGCGGCATCTCTCTTCTCATTTTTCAGCGACTCAATCTGCTCTTCAGTTTCGTGCACCTTCTCCTCCAACTTGGAAGACTCCTTGATTGCATCGTCTAATCTCGTCTGCAGCACTTCGACCTGTTTCCTGTACTGATCAGAGGAGATTTCGGCCTTGGAAAGGCGTTCCTTTAGGTCGTCCAATAGCGCAAGGGTTTCGGCTCTCGCAGCCTCCTCGGCCTCAGAACTACCGTTGCCATTGCTGTTGCTCAGGACAGAGTCTCGCCTTGTTGCAGCTGCACGAGCGGAAACGGGAGTTCCTGAGCGAGCTGGTGCTCTGCGCGCAGCAGAAGCAGCCGTGGGCGTGGAGGATCGCGTTGGCGTTCTCGCAGGAGAAGCAGAAGGGTTTGATGCAGAATCTGTCGAGGAAACGCGACCGACGCCCGCAGCGGGCGGTTTCTTTGCTGTAGCAGCGGACATGGTATCGCGGTGAGGCTTTGTTGTGGCGATGATTGTTGTTGCAGTTCGCAGCGGAGGGTTACCTGGGGAAACGGAGGTAAGCGGGGAGACTCGTCGGGAAGGGGAGAAGGAAAAAAAAAAAAAGAGTTGGCGGTCAAGGGCAGTGCGGAAAGCTATTTCTGTAGTGACGATGTTCCGTTCCAGAGAGAAGAGGCTATCTCACCAAATGTATGTAGTTGCTTATGCTTGGAACAGGTGACGCGGAACACACAACAGCGGGAAAGTTGTCGATCGTTGGGCTCCCCAGATATGCGAAAGGCAAATGATAGCCAAATAGGAGTGCGGTGCAGAACGGGAGGGTGTGCAGCAGATTTGCAAGCTTAAGTCAGACGGTGTCAGCCCAGCAGGAAGTGCCTCTTAGACAATGGAAGTACTTTGTATTCCCAAGTAGACACTTAGGTTGGGTTCCTCTCTTCTTTCGAGGGGAAAGTGCAGCGAGTGTCGGTGTCGGTGTCGGTTGTCCAGTCCACAGGTTGCAGTGAATTTCCGATATTTCGGGGCTGCTCCAGGGGGTCTAATTCGCTAGCCCGTGCAGGAAGGGGAAGACGTGGGCCAACCAGGAAACGAGGAATGGAACGAGAACAATGCTCTTCACCCTTCCAACCCCGGCGCCACTAACCGTTTTCGCCGGGTTGCGTTGCTTGTTGCTTGAGCACCCTGCAGAGTGCAGACTGCAAAAGAGACGGGAATGCCGTGGACGCACTAACTAACTTTACCTGTGAACGCCTCTGAAGACTGACCGTCATCCAGCAAAGCCTATCCGTAGGTACCTGGGGGTAGTTTGCAGGCAGGCAGGTCACCGTGGAACTCTCGAGTGGTTTGACACCTTCTTGACGGCGCAAATTAGTGTGGTAGGTCAGGCAACGGAAACCTTCTCTGGCGTGCTATTTTCGATGAATCCTTTCGCTGCCTTTCAGGCTTGTTCGGTCCCGTATTGCGTTGCGCTGAGCTGAGACTACACTCGTTGGGATGCGTCCGAGGTAACTCTCGTTTCAGTCCCGTCTCTTGGTCACGTGGTGCTCGAAGCTTGAGTGGATGGCGGGCGATGACGGCAGTGCCAGGCAGTGGCCAGCGCTGCGAATGTGGTGCTGCAGACGCCGTCTCGTCTTTGGTTGAGATGGGATGAATGATAACCTTCTTTGCTGTATGGTTTCTTTCCGAGTTCTTGGGTCACTCGGAGAGCTGGCTTCTAGACGACCAGGTATGAAATTGAGGAATACTAAGTACGTTTATAGGTCGAATTCAGTGATACCAGCCCATTGCGTTTCCAATAACAATAACACGTAGACCGCAAGAACCATCATGAACGAATAGGATCGCAATGCTTTCTGGATCTCGACTGAAACACCCTCGTTCGCCGTCCAGACAGCCAGGCATTGCCCTTGGTGAGTAGCTCTTGGTCACGTTCGCTTCACTTTAGCCTGTGCTCCGGTCGTCTGCTGGTTGACTGTCAGGAGCACTGGTAATCAGGTACCTGTCAGTAGTAGACAGCCACCAAGCTGTCTTAGCAAGCACATGCAACGGGTAAGGGTCTCACGCAACCTGCACCCCTATTCTCCCCGTCGTGAGCAGCTGGAATGCGGAGCCCGTCGATGTTAGTGGGCTCGGCCCGTCTTTGTACCCAGGGATCCCATCGAGTCATTGGACGGCACTCTGCACGAGACCGGCCAGAACTCACCGTGGTGGGAACCGTGAAATTATTCTCATGTTGCCATCAATGCAAAACTTCTGACGGCCTTCCAGATTCAGGCTCAAGGCCCAGAAGCCCTGTCAGATCTCCAGCTAATTTCCTGACCATGAGCCGGTAAAATGGTAAGCATTGGGCTCGACAGACTCGACAACCATGGGGTTGTTTACCTTCCGAGCACAGGGATGGCGGGGTGGGTAGCCAACTTTATGACAAAAAAAGTCCCTGGTGCCGAGGCCGGGTTGAAGTATGATATCGGAATAAAGAGTCACCCGCCAGCAACTAGGGATTATTCAATATGTCAGTCATTGTCAGTTGCTGTCTTGCCTTTGACTGCCATTTCGCTTTTAGGGCTGGCATGTAACAATGCACCTCGTCTTCTCAGATTCCAGCATAGTAAGGACATTTGTTGAGTGGTCACGCGATCCAGAAACACCGAATGACATCGTAAAATGGCTGAGTAACAGGCGAGTCCTTTTTGATTCAAAGTGCCTATGATCTTTCATAAAGTCATGTCCTTTTGACAATCCCGAGGTATCATAGCGGCATATCCCAAGCCGCGATCCCGATTTGCGGGATGCATTTTTCCGTTTCCTTCGACCATATTCCCCAACGCCGTTACCAGCCAGACCGGACTCAATCCACTTAAGCGACCTGGTCGCTGAGGATGTCGGAGTCACCGGCATCGATGATGGCCAAGGTACCGCAGCGGAAGAGCTTTCCGACGGCAGTTCCCATCTCGATCTGAAGAGGGGTAGCAAGTTAGCTTTGTTCACCCTCCAAAGCCTGAGAGACTTCTTCGCTGGGTTGACCAAGAGACTGGAGGTCTTCGAGATCGGTAGCAAGAGAAGGTCGGGAGCGAGGCAGTGCCAGCTCCCATCTGTGCAAGAACAACTTACGTTGGTGCCACCGAAGTGGTGAACGGGGACCTTGCTCAACATGGCGTAGTACTCGAGCTCAGACTTGCGGAGAGGAGGAGTGTTGCCAGCAATGAGGACGAGCTTGGCCTTGCCGGTGCGGAGGGTCTTGAGGGTCTCCTTGTATCCCAGCACGATGCGACCAGACTTGACAACAAGAGCAAGCTTGCTACGAGAGGGTTAGACCATTGCCAGAGCAAGACATTTTGGATGCAAATCAGCATACCTGTTGATGGAGTTCTGGTCCTTCTTCGCCTTCTTAACGGGAGCCATTGCGAATGATTTGTCGGGTGAATTGGCTGGGTGGTTAGGTCTGGTGGTCGCTGGGCGTTGAGGCTGGTTGTCGTTCGCAAAGGGAAAAAAAGATCGCGGAGTTTTGGAGTTTATTTTTTCGATTTGTAAGCCCCACACGCCGGGGAGTCACTTCGGCAAGGCGCATCCAATCAATGGTGCGTATGCACCGCGCTCTTAACCCTAAAGTGGACCCCCAGCATGGCCACCTGCTCATTCCGCTTTGCTGAGAAATCAATCGTATTGTCCTTGTCTGATCGCAATCGCCGCAACCTATTCAAAAGTGAGTGACGCCCAGGTTCTGGAGACGAATCCCAACCCACCAACTAACCAACACATAGCAGTAACGAGTGATCCCGTGAGATCTCAATACCGTCAAAATGGCCCGTCGTCCCGCCCGTTGCTACCGGTACTGCAAGAACAAGGTAAGCGACTCCTGTCAAACCCTGGACTCCCGCGAATTCCGACATCCCACGAAATCCCGCGCATCGAAAGAGGAGGATCGAAGTACTGCTTGGGAAGAGGCGACGCGTTGACGGGGAACTGGGCAACAATTTTTCTCTGATTTTCGACGATCGGAATGACGCACTTGATGAAGTGGGATGGAGGGGATTATCGCAGGCTTGGGAGCAACATCCAGACATCGGTCGTTATACTAACTGATCATTTCTTCAGCCGTACCCCAAGTCGCGCTTCAACCGCGGTGTCCCCGACCCCAAGATTCGCATCTTCGATCTTGGCCGCAAGAAGGCGACTGTCGATGACTTCCCTCTCTGCATCCACATGGTCTCCAACGAGTACGAGCAGCTGAGTTCCGAGGCTCTCGAAGCCGCTCGCATTTGCGCCAACAAGTACTTCGTCAAGACCGCCGGAAAGGAGTCCTTCCACCTCCGCGTCCGCGCCCACCCCTTCCACGTCGTCCGTATCAACAAGATGTTGTCTTGCGCCGGTGCCGATAGACTTCAGACTGGTATGCGTGGTGCCTGGGGTAAGCCTAACGGCACTGTCGCCCGTGTCAACATTGGCCAGATCATCATGTCCATCCGTACTCGTGACTCCAGTACGTCTCACCTCCCTCAAGAAACCAACGAGAAAGTGATATCACTAACACACACCACAGACAAGGCTGTTGCCCTCGAGGCCCTCCGCCGCTCCCAGTACAAGTTCCCTGGTCGCCAGAAAATCATTATCTCCAAGAACTGGGGCTTCACCCCCCTTCGCCGCGAGGAGTACCTCGAGAAGAAGGCCGCTGGCCGTGTCAAGGTCGACGGTGCCTACGTCCAGTTCCTTGCCAACCACGGCTCCCTCGAGCAGAACATGAAGCGCTTCCCCGATGCTTTCGCCTCCGAGGCTTAAGTTAGTGGTTTCAGCTTTCTTCTGGGATTTGGGTTTCTACGGGCTGGCGTCTAAAGTGGTTGCATGTCAACATGATGAGAGTCATGCCGCGGCAGACTCTAGATAGGAATTCAATCATTGACACTTCACAACATCATGCCTCTATGCTACATGACGAATGGGAACGGGATTATCAACTGCGTACTAGCTTCATGAGTTGGGCTTCAGAAAACGCTTGATGATCGAGCCTAGCGGGAAATAAAGACAGATACCATCCATCATTTTGAGACCTGCAGATGAGCCAAGATACGTGAGGCTGAACCAAGGATGATGTCAACCTGAAATGGTAAGTTTCTAAAGTGACATGCTGCGCCAGACACTTTAGAGCCCGTGGATCACCCGCAGCAGAGTGTGACACCACGAGGCCGGCGGGCACGGCCTCAGCTGGGTCACGCGGACGAACCCCTCCATCCATCATCTGCTCAATTTCGCCTGGGATGTCTTGACACTGACAGGAGTCACTGAGAGGGAACCACCATCTAATTTCACAAAAAAAAAAAAAGTGGCGAGGTTTGATGCTGTATGGGATGGAGCCTTTGTGAGGCAAATAGTACGTAATTCATGCTGAGAAATGCACAGAAGAAACGAAAGGAAAGGAAAAAAAACTTGTCCCTTTTCTCTCGGGGACCCGGAAAGCGACCGTGATCTCGTAAGCGCAACGGCTGAATCAGACACCGTGAGCTGAGAGTCTACGGACACAGGTCCTGAATACATCGTATGGACAAAGTACGCAAGAATAGCATCTTACTTGCGTAATTGCGGTCATGTATCGTAGTATTGGGAGCCAGTGCAGGAACAGCCCGCCAAACCGCCTGAACAGCAGCGCCCTGTCAGAGGTGCAGCAGCAGGTGTAAGCGCAGGGCGACGGGATGGGTGCGCGCCAGTCAAAGGCCGACATCAGATCTGGGGGTGAAGGGCTGGTTGGCGGGAATGAGATTGGGGTGCAGACACCGACCAACGGAGAACCTGGAACAAGCAGGCGGTCGAGCCGACGGACTCAACTCTCTCAGTAGTAGGACTCAGGAGAGGGACGGTGTGGTGGTGCAGCGTGGGCGGCGATCAGGTCCCACCGAGATCCCAGGTGACCTAAATGACGTTATCGGGATTTCGGATGGTGCTCGGTGTGAGACTTTCTTGGAGAGACGTTGGGATAGGGAGGTAGGTACCGGTCCGCGAAGTTTGAAATGTCTTTCTGGGCTCTAGACTGTCCCGGGTTGTTTGGTTGAGGAGACCAGAAAGTACCTTTGGGACCTTCTGACTCCTGAGGGTTTACGACTCGTGAGAGGTTCGAGAAACCTCCCCAAGCTTGCTCCGAAAGTCGGCATGAGGGTCGCCAACTACCCGAAAATGAGCGAAAAGAGTCAGTTTCCAAAGCATCCAGAGTGGAATGGGTGACACATTGCACAAAATTTCTCTCCTTTCCCTTCCCCCTTCCGATGCTGAATGGGGCCCTAGCATATCAAAGTAGACTCGGAGCTGGGAGGGGCATTGATCTCGGTGATAAGCTGGTGGGCGGTTGTCTTCCATTTCGATGGGATTTCCTAAACTGCTGCGACTAACAAAGAAGGCATCATGGCAAGCATGGATCTGCTTGTTGGTCGGGGAAAGATAGCCACCAACGTGACACCAACCCCTCGGTGGCTTTACGTACGAGGCAGATGCTATTCTACAGGAAGAAATGGCCAAGGGGATAATGCTCCATAATTCGTAGTCTCCAGTTTGGAAGGTGTTCTTAGGATGATGTTGGCTTTATCTGCTGAGCGTATCTGCAACCGTCGTGCGAAGCTGGCGGTATGATTTCGAATGCTCCGAGAAATGACACCAACATAACCTGACCTCTCTCTCTATCCCGTCGTGCCCGCATCCGCTCTAGAGGCGCTCCAACTTGCGTTTACCAGGGAAGAAAACACAACAGAGTTCATAGCCCCCCCTCCATTCGAGTGCTGCCGCCATGTCTCATCAATCATCATGTCCGCCGCTCAGGGCGCATCTGAACTATTGCATACGGGAAAGGTGTGGCAGACCCTCCGCGTAGCCAGTAGACGGCGAGCCAGCCAGTCTCTAAGAGGGCCCTAACGCCATCAGCACCTCATCAGTCAAATCAGCCCAGCTCACAAGTCTGTCCATGTATGAGGTGGGTGAGTGGGCTGTCACTTTTTGGGCGCTCAGGCATTCTGACACTCTGGGGGAAGCATGGCGGATGGACGTCGTGGTGATCTCTGGCCTTCCCTTCTAAGTAAACCACCTCAAATCAGGACGGAGGACAAAAAACCGGTAGTCCAAAGCTTGTACCTATTCCCCTCCTCAAAGCTTGCTCAGCGGTTGGAACCTGGAACTTGGGTACCTCTCCAATCCCCACCTTGCGTTTATTTCTTCTTCCTCTTCTCCTATCTGCTCAACCGACAACCGGAATGTCCCAGAGTCATGGATCAAAAGTCAAAGGTTCCGTGGAGTTGAAGTGGTGGTTTTGTCCTTGGATCCCTTGCCCGCCGCACGCGAGCACATCATCCACACCCCATTTCACTCCGACCCTGCGCCATTCACCCGCCTGGCGCCCCCTTCCAGACTCCAGCAGGTAGCCGTAGTGTACACTTGTGGCTCCTCCAATCTGCTTTTTCCCTTGGGCTCTCTGTATGTCTCTGTGTCTCCCCGGCTTGAGGTCGTTGTCTGAGAATACCGCGCCTGTCCCGCCGTCCCGCCGAGTTCGCCCACTTCTTCGGGGTTACTCGTAACGGCGCGCGGTGTAAGGTACATGACCGAAATGGTAGGTAATGTGTACTGAGGTACTTGGCCCGCACCCGCCCTTTTTAGTCGGTGACGCCTTAATCAGTGACAGACCCATTCACCGTCATCCTGTACTTTCTGGCTGTGGCCCAGCAGGAGAGATCCACCCCTCACACCCCCCTTATCCTCTTCTTATCATCCATCCCGCTTTCTTCCTTCCTTCCTTCCTGTCCGCTGTTGGTTCCAGTAGACTGCTGCCACATATATCCTGTGTGTGGCCTGTATTCGACCACTTCTTGACCTCTTTCCTATTATGAATGCCTGATCGACCTCGACCTTGAAATCCTACTCTTCACCGACTTTAGGACGTTGTCAAACGACAAACGTACAACACTTGAACTAAACACGCTATTAATACGGGGCGCCGTTATCGAGGCGTCACTGCGACACCGCGACTGGGGGGGCTTATCGTGATTGTTCGCCCATCCTTTATCGGACGAACACAACTCAACTACTTACATACCTCTTCGGCTTGTGTTTGTGCCAGATCGACGACTTGGTAACAACACAAACACTATGGCTTTCCATCAACCTACCCGGCGGCCTTCGCAGCAGCGTGCTGCCCGCCCCGTGCAAGAGGAGGATCGCGACATTCCTCAACTCCACGTTCAAGATCCTACTGCTACCGATGCCTCCCACTCGTGGGTACTCTTCGAACCGGCCGATGACACGACGACAGCTTCTTCCTACCTCAGCGAAGAGGAAGAGTCACTTCCCACACCGGGTCGATCAAGACTCAGTGACATAGGTAGCCTCAACACGTTCCTACACTCGGCCCGCGACACAGAGTCCCGGCAGTCGGGTGTCCTCTCAAGTGCCATCGATGAAGAATCAGTCGAGGACGATGCTGAGCTTGACAGCCTCGACAGCCATCTCCCTGAATTCAGGACGATCCCAAGCCTTTACACACATTCTACTGGTGCTGCTGGGGCGCAAAGCGTCCCTGTGCTCCCCACACATGATGGCCTGGGCTCGTTCAGGCTAGACAACCCTGAGGTCCAGGAGCAGCTCTATGCATTTGAGAGATTCAATCCCAGACATGTGCGAAGGCGCCGTGAGAGTCTTGAGCTAGCCCAGCTTGAGATGGAAATAGAGGAGGAGCAAGAGACGCACAAGATGCAGAGGATCGAAGCTTGGCGACTGGAGCAGAGTCGCATCTTATTAGAGGAAATTAGTAGGGAGACCAGACGGCGGCGGCAGTCCATGGTCTCAGTCAGACCAACTGTGACGACAGAAGAGAAGAAGGCCGAGGATGTTGCAAGCTTGAGTGTCATCGGAAATGAAGACGATGCTGACAGCATGGACTGGCACTACGAGTCGACTGACACCCAGGACAATGAGCGGGGCCTGCTCGCCAGGATCACCCACAAGGTTCTCAACGACCTGGGCATCGACGAGAGGTTACTCTCAATCTTGCTCGGAGAACAACTACCGTCAGACGATGACTTGTCAACAACTCCCAAGACAGGCGCAGATTTATCCAACACACCCACTCAACAGTCCAATGACTCATCTTGGCAGCTGCGGGCGTTGGATCGTGTCGCAAAAGAGCTTGGCCTGATGGTCAATCAGCTTTCGCCGCATAACCACCCTGGTGCCTTCTCGACTTACACTCGCATGCAGCAAATGCCTATTCCTTACGCAGGTCTGCCGGCTATACCAGAGTCGAGCGCTGATACGGCAATGGCTCCCGTAGCACGAGAAGCATCGACCAAGATGCCCGAATTCCAGCCAACAATGGTTCAACACGCGCGCCCCATCAACATCCCCGCTACCCGGCCCCAGTTGGATCCTCCCGTGCCTTTGACTAGGGATGAGTCAACCCCATTGCCTGCTACTTTTACCCAGGAGGAATGGGAGCAAGACTTGGACGTCAACCTCGTCTTCAGATACTTGCGATCCCGCTTCAGCTCGCGGTCGACGCCTTCATCTACTTTCACAACCGGTACTTCCCATCTTGCCACTTCAAGCACGCCAGATGCAGCAGCTAAGGCCGCGCGGGTGCGCCAGCATCACCCGCTCGTCTCCCGGGCCCGACAGGTAGAGCGGAGGACTTTCAAGGCGACGACACCATCTAGCCCCGCCGCTATGAGACACGCCTCCAGCTGTGCGAGTCAAAGTACGCGACGATCGGCGAGACGGAGCAGCGTTTCATCACGGCACTATTGGGATATCGGAGGTTCTATCGGAACGGGATCAGTCATCGCCTCGGTAGGCCCGATGGGCAGTTGGGGCGAAGTCTAAGTAAACGAGATCATCAGCAACAGCCGGGCAGAGTCATTCGTCCCATTTCTACTCTCTGCGGCCGGCTGCTACCGGCCATGATCGGGCGTCTGTCTACAATAGATGTATTACTATTTGGGTCAGCGGGAGTTACTGAGAACTGTCGCTTGTTTGACGGATATTGGGCACAGCATTAGCATATCACATCATGACGAGTAAGGGACTTAGAGTTACTAAGCATCTACAGATCATATAAACATTATTGAGTTTGCGTAATTGAAACGTCTTGGCTATTCATCTCAAATTACTTACTTGCGTGATATTGCTGGAGATTAATGGACGTCGTTTTTCTGATGATTTTATCAGTGGATGATGCGTAGACTGAGATATGGACCTAGAATTGACGCTTGCCTCAAAGAGTGAGAAAGACGTACCGGCAAAAGAACGAACCAGTCCTCCGGAACTCTGGCCGGTGGACCGGCTAGGCGGCGGCATATGTGGATCCTTGGCCCCGAGCGGGACGGGTCGAGTGACACAATCAAACTTGGCAGCTAAGCCGACGAGTACCAACCTACGTGCCTACCAGCCTAGTCCACTGTCCGCGGCATATGGAAGATGAAAGTGAGTCTGCGACAAACCATTCGCACTTCACAAAACTTGTCTCGACTCCGCGAAACGAACGATCGACAATGGATTATGTCCCTCAAGACTCGTCACAGTCTCCACCTTTGACCAGTCAGCGATGCAGATGGGCGCCATGCTGTGACTCCCATTTCCCAAAGCCATGTTCACAGTTTCCTTTCTTGGGGTACACCTCACCATGCGATAGGGAGGAAAGGGCTTACACTCAGTTTGCAGCCAACGACGCATGGCGAGGCTTGACTCTTGAGATTTGCACAACCTAGACAAATGTCGACCTGAATTTTTTTTTGGATAAGGCTGGCGGGGGATTTTCCCACTTGCTGCTTTTGCCTGGAAGCCAGTCATTTGATCGGGGCGCCTCGCGTACAGGGCGGGATCGCCGTGCGGGACCCCGGACGGACGCCTCACGGGTTTGCGAATGGATAGCATCATTGAGCGTCAGCCTAGCGTGGTCTTTTGTGCTTGGTCTGTTCTGCCCATCAAGCGACTAACACCAGGATCTGGAAATCCAGGGTACTGCTGTCTATCCCATGGTCCGTCTGTGTCGTTCACGCCCATCACGTCCATACATTCTGTCAGCCTTTATCGAGTGCGCAACCAACTAGGTACGCGGAGAACGCGTGCTTCGCTACTTTCTTTACTGTGCTTTGCCGCCGTCCCCGGACTCTGATCTGTGCTGAAATAATTGGCAAAAGGAAGGGTTTACGGATAGTGTATAGTCGATCCAACCGCGTCGAACCAACGATAATGGTTCGGATTCTGTCCTTCCATCTCTGGAATGGAACGGCCATCTTAATCGTTGCTTCTTTGACCCTGCCCCTCCACAAAGGCATACCCCTTGCTCAATGCTCATCGTGGTCCCGCGCTGTTCTGTAGTGGAGCACGTTGTTTGGAACTAAGAAGCAGGACTGGGGGCCGATCAGAAGGTCATGGGAAGAGAAACGACTTCTGGTTGATGGTATCAGAAACGCTGTGAATGTTGGAGTTGCGACTCGAGAAGATACAAAGATACCCGGTCATGCAGAGTTGCGGTGGGAGAGAGGCTGGCGTGGGAGAGTACCTCCTCCGTACTGCGGTATGGGAGGAACAGAAGAGGGGTGCCCGAGTTGCTCAAAGTTGGCGTTGAGCCAATGGGATGCTTCCGCTGGATGCCAGTCGGGGCTCCGAAGACGTGGAGCTTGCAAGGATACGCGGGCGGGGCCTCACGCCGACCACTTTAACCCATGGCAGGCAAGCAAGACGAAGACGCGTTTCTGGCCGTCGACATCCAATCACTCCTGATCCTTGCATCTTTCTTTTTTCTGCTGTCTCTTCCCCCTGCTTCTTGGTCTGCTGGTCTGCTCTCGCGCCTGCTGTGGCCATCCATCCCGTCGCCTCCCAGGCAAGTTCCCATGGTGCTATGGAGGCCTGGCCGGTTAAGATCTTGCGCGGCAGAAGCGCCCAAGCAGCACGGCAGCTTTTCAGGTTCGCTGAGGTAGCTACAGACTTACATTGATGCCCACCACATCAGAGTGAGAGGCGTCCACTGGGCTTTTGTGTACCTATTGTACGACATGGCGCGCAGCATGGGATATCCATATGCAAGCGAAATCCTACGACATCAGGCACACCAACCCACACACACCTATGGTACCTAGAGCACTTAGTCACTTAGTGTTATGCCGCATCATAGCTTGAATTGCCGCCATCTAAACGCAATTCACACCACGGTTTATACGAATACACAGAGCGTTTACCTTGTTCTAACAGATATCAAACGGTAGCCTTAGGACAGCGGCTGAGATATCAGAGACCCCTGTAACCATTTTCGAGTCATTCCTGCCAACTTGCATAAGTCCACTCGCTTCGCTAATGCACTGTGACCTCGAGCAAACGGTATCCGTAAACCTGAGCGAAGCTTGCCCTGCTGCTGCTTTAACTTATGTTTCTCTTCTCCACCTTTTCGCATGCCTCGTTCCTAATTACCCGTCTCCCTCCTTCCCGGTTACTTGTCGCGCATTTCCCTTCCAGTGCTGTTCCAGGTTCCCACTTCCTCCGCCTCGATTAGCCCATCCGCACATCAACCAGCGCCAGGTTCCTCGGTCGTGCTTGTGCTGCCCAATCCAGTAACCGCCTCACTTTCTATCAACAACATCTCCCCCACCACTCCATCGTTCGCCAGTCTCGTCCGCCTGCTGCATTGCTCAATCCGCGCATTTCTTCACCAAGCCGGCGCATGCAGATATAAATAAGCGGAAGCTTCTCGCGAAACCGACTTCCCTTTTCCCGATTTGTTATACATCTATTCCGTCGCGGGTGCGTGTTTACGGCCTGAGGGTTTCCCCAGTAGGCTTGCGAGTGCCAGCTTCAATCCAGGACATAGCTCCCATTATTGGACAGAGGATAGAGGGCTAACTACCACAGCAGCTGCAATGTTCTAGGTCTCTCGGATTGCGACCCAGCTGGGCCCTGGTTTGGGCCGCGTAGGCATTTCCTTCGTCTCGTTTCAATCAACTTCCTCCATCACACCGACACCGACCTACGATACCAATATCGTCGACCTCTCATCCCAGCTCACCGGGACCCAAGCTCCCGCGCCATCCCATCGCCGTCCGAACATCTCCTCGACCTCCCCGATGAGCATTGCTGCCGCCAATGGCAACAACACCTTTTGATCCCCCTCTGCCGGGCTCTTCATTTTTCGATATCTACAACGATGGCGCTGCCCAGCGCAACCCTGTCCAACTTCCTGGAGGAGCATGCAATTATGTGGATTTAACACCTGGAGCCAATGGAGCGAAGTGCGGATGCCGTCGATTCTGGAGTCGCTTCGCCGCCGGGAAGGCGTATACAGATAGCCTGGGATCTGATAACTCCGTCTGGTGTATGTGTTCGCATCATGCCTGCTTCCACGATGACGGACGCGCCGCGAGCGAGGCTCCAGCACCCGCGCCTGTATCTGCGATTCCGCCCACACCCACCACCCACATTCCTCGCCAGGAGAATGAGAGATCAAGGATGTCCAGGGAACCGCTTAGCCCGGTACAATTGCCAGATATGTCGTTTCGTATGCCCACCGGATACCCCCCGACAATGGACTTCATGAACCTGGATACTGCCATGGCTATATCTCCGAGCAAGCCCGAGGAACCAAGGCCCCGTCATATGGACCATGTTAGCCAGCGCCCGGAGTCTACCTTACAGGATACGTTAAGCTGGGGCGACTTTATTCAGTCCCAGCCCGGAAACGGTTCTACTTCGTTACCGCCAATACCAGCCCAATGTCTAATGCAGTCTCAGCCCAGCTCGACAACATCTTCCAGCCAGGCTCGCTATCTTCGTCCGTTCTCTGGGAAAGGTCTCCAAACACTTAGTGGTGTTGCTACTTCTAACATGCAATCTCTACGGAAGGACAGACTCCAGGATATCGTCACTTCTGCCCCACAGGACCAATTTACCAAGGACGACGCCAGCGCTATGATTGTCCACAGTGATCATGGTGCAGACACTCCGAGGGCTCTGTCTCCCTGCGTCCGCAAGGAGGATGCTGTTTTTGCCGGGCCTTCTCGCGATACATTCCGCAATCTATCGGATACAGTTCAAGGTCACGAACACCGTCTCGAGAGACTCGAGAATGTTTCATTCTCCGCTGCCGGGCACGATGAGTGTCATGAGAAGCATGACGCCACGGATCTTCGAGTGACCGACCTTGAGGTTCGCTTCGAGGAAGTGGAAAAGCTCATTAATGATAACGGCAGTGTTGTAGGGCGCCTCGCCGACCGACAGACGTTTGACGAATCTACCAACAGCGTTGTTTCAGTCGCTACGAGTACGACTACCGCACGAGCTGGCCATTCTGGCGAAATCTTCAGCCAGATTCAGACGCTGCAGTCTCAGATCCTCCAACTTCAGTCACAGCTTCCCACACTTACTCGGCCGTGGGAGATTGAAGTCGTGTATCTGCCTTTCCCATTGAGGAGGGTCTGGGTGGAGCTCCAGGATTTCAAATCCGATGGCACTTCGAGCTTAGATGAATGGACTCAGATGCCCAACACCATGAGCTCTCACACACTTAGAGCACAGTCACCCTTCTGCGCAGAATGGGCTGATCCTGGACATGACTACGCGTGGTTGATGGCAAAGGCCTGTAGTCCTACCAGTATTATCAACAGCAGACTCAAAAGCCGCGGCTTAGTGCGAACTATATCTATTAGAGGATCAGATGCACGAAGTGTCCAGGCAGCGATCCATACTGCGTTCGGTACCGCTTTCACCGAACTTTCTGGCGGTCATCGTTCAGCCTCACGTCGACGCAGCCTCGACAATAAGACAAGTCGCTTTTTGGGCCTGCAGCAACCATGGGTACCGCTGCGCAAGATCCACAAAGACTCCCGTCTCCGATTTTTGACGCCGGCAGAGATGGTAACGCCTGCCCTCTGGGACGTGTCGTTTCTCAACTCTGTAATTATGCGATCATCTGAGCCGCGTCTGTTCATCACGCAGCCTGAGGCCTATCTCCAAGATCTACCATCGTATGAGAGCGGCTGGAGTTGGCAACGCCTTCGCGAAATGAGCCGTTTCTACCCCGACTCTCAGGCTACTCAGGAGGTCCCCGAAGCCGACGCGAAAGAGGATCACTGGACGTGGCATGACCA